GAGTTACGTGTAATAAATAGACAAATAAATTACAGGTACACCCCTCTAACAAATGAATAAATACATAATAGTACAACAACTATATTTGTCTAATATCCCCCTTCAAGCGAATCGGTGGCGGACCAAGACGAAGCATGCGACGAAACTGCTCAAACTGTTGTCGTGGAAGGCTCTTAGTAAAGATGTCCGCTACCTGAAGCTTGGTAGGAACAAACATGGTAACGAGTTTCCCAGATACAACGAGCTCACGAACAAAATGGTAGTCAAGATCGATATGTTTGGCGCGCTTATGAGATACCGAATTCTGTGTGAGAAATAGGGCACTCTGATTATCACACAAGATGGTCGGACGGCCAGTGGGAAGAAAGTGAAGCTCACACAACAAGTGAGTAATCCATATGAGTTCAGCAGCGGTGTTAGCAATGGCTCGATATTCAGATTCACAACTGGAGCGAGAGACCGTAGGCTGCTTTTTGGCGCTCCAGGATACAAGATTACCCCCCAGGAATATCGAGTACCCATATGTGGATCGGCGCGTATCCAAGCAACGAGCCCAATCCGCATCAGAATAACCGACAAGATTCGTGGATGTGGGTCTCGAAAAGGTAAGACCATAGGAGAGGGTACCCTTAACATATCGGATAAGTCGCTTGACCGCCTGATAGTGATCAATAGTAGGAGCCTGAAGAAACTGGCTAACTTGATTAACGGCATAAGAAATATCAGGACGGGTAATGGTCAAATATTGCAAAGCCCCAACAAGAGAGCGATAATGAGTCGGATCCTCATAAGGAGTACCAGATGCAACAAAAGAGACATTTGGAGATAGAGGGGTTGCCACGGTCTTCGACTTAAGTAGGCCGGCATGGGAAACAATAGCATGAGCATACTTGGACTGGCTAAGAAACAACCCGGACGAAAGACGCTTGGCTTCCAAACCGAGAAAGTAGTTGAGGTGACCGAGATCCTTTATCTTGAATTCGGTGTGAAGCTCGGAGATAAACGAGCGAATAACAGCCGAGTCGGAGCYCGTGAGGATAAGATCATCCACATATACTAGTAAGTATAAGATATAAGCACCACGTTTAAACACAAA